TTTTTGTCCCTTTTCCTTTGTCCTTCCCCTTTTGGGGGCCCTGTTTTTTCCCTTTTCTTTTGCCCTTTTTTTCCTGCCCTGCCCTTTTTTTTCCTGGGTTTGTCCTTTTTTTTGTTTTCCCGGGGTTTTTCCTTTCCCCTGTCCCTGCCCCTTTTTGTTTCTGCCCTTTTCCCCTTTCCCTTTTTTTTTCCCTGTCCCCCTTTCCCCTGTCCGTCTCCTTTTTTTGTCTTCCTGTCCTGTCCCTTTTCCCTGTCCCTTTCCTGTCCCTTTGTCCTTTTTTTTTTTTTGGTCCTGCCTGTTTTCCCCTTTGTCTTCTTTCCCTTTTTTTTTCCCTTTTCCCCTTGCCGGGCCTGTTTGTCCTTTCCTGTTGTCCCCCCCTTTCCTTTGTTTTTTTCCCTGTCCCTGTTTTTTCCCTTTTTCTTCCCCTTTTTTTTTGCCCCCTTTCCTTTTGTCCTTTTTCCCTTTTTCCCTGGCGTCCCTTTCCCTGTCCCTGTCCTGCTTTCCCTTTCCCCTTGTCCCTGCCTTTGTCCTGTCCTTGCCCCTGTCTGTCCTTTGCCCCCTTTTCCTTTTTCCCGGGGCCCCCTGTCCCTGTTTTTTGGTCGCCGGGTTTTTTTGCCTGTCCGGGGTCCCGGCTTGTCCCTGTCCTTTTTCCTGTCCTTTTGTCCTGTCCTGTCCCTCCCCTTTCTTGTCCTTTTCCCTGTCTTCTCCCTTTCCTGCTTCCTGTCTTTTTTTCCTTTGTCTTTTTTCCCCTGCCTTTCCCTCCCCCTTTGTCCCTTTCCCTTTTTCCCGTTTTCCCGGGGTTTTTCCTGCCCCTTTCCTTGGGCCCCCTGTCCTGTCCTTGCCCTTCTTTTTTTCCCCTTTCCCCTGTCTTTTTTCTTGCTGCCTTTTCCCCTTTTTTCCCTTTTTCTTTTTCCCTTCCCTGTCCCTTTTCCTTTCCCTTTCCCTTTCCCTTTTTCCCTTTCCCTTTCCTTTCCCTTTTTTCCTTCCCCTTCTCCCTTTCCCTTCTCCTGTTTTTCCCTTCTCCCTTCCCTTTCCCTTTTTTCCCTTCCCCTTTTCCCTTTCCCTTTTCTTCCCTTTTTTTTTCCCCCCTTTTCCCTTTCCTTTCCCTTTTCCCCCCTTTTTTCTTTCCCTTCCCTTTTTCCCTTCTCCTTTCCCTTTCCCTTCCCTTCTCCTTCCTTTCCCTTCCCTTCCCTTTCCTTCCTGTCCTTTTCCCTTTTCTCCCTGTTTTTCCTGTTTTTGGTCCCTTTTCCCTTTTTTCCCCCTTTTTCCTTGTTTCCTTTGTCCTTCCCCTTTTTGTTTCTTGTCCCTTTTTTCTGTCCGGGGGGTTTCTTTTCCCTTTTCCCTTTGTCCCTTTGCCCCCTTGCCCCTTTCCTTGTCCCTTTTTCCCTGTTCCCTTGTCCCGTCCTTTTTGGGTCCCCTTTGGTCCTTTTGTCCTTTTTTTGGTCCTTTTCCCTGTTGTCCTTTTTGTCCCGGGCCTGTTCCCTTTTTTTTTCCCCCCCTGTGTCCCCTTTTTTTGGTCCTTTGCCTTTTCTGTTTTCCCCTTTTTCCCCCCTGTTTTTCCGGGGTCCTGTCTCCCCTTTGGGCCCCCTTCCCTGTCCTTTTGCCCCTTTTCCTTTCCCCCTTTTCCCTGTCCCTGTCTGTCCTTCCTGTTTTCTTTGTTTTTCCTTTGGCCTTTCCCCTTTTTTCCCCTGTCCTTTTTGTCTTCTTGTTTTTTCCCCTTTTTGTCCCTGTCATCCCCGGGGTTTGTCCTTTTTTGTCTTGTCCCTTTCTTTGGTTTTCCCCCCCTTTCCCTTTTTTCCGGGGTCCCTTGTCCTTCCCCCTTGTCCTCCCCTGGCCTTTTTTTTTTCCCCTGTCCTTTGTCCCTTTCTGTCCTTGTTTTTTTGGTTTTTTGTCCCTGTCCCTCCCCTTTTTTTTTTCCCTTTTTTCCCTTTCCTGCCCCTTTCCTTTTTTCCCTTGTCCTGTCTTTCCTTTCCCCTGCCCCTGCCTGTCTGTTTTTTTCCCGTCCTTTTCCTTTCCCCTTTGTCCTTTCCTTTTTGTCCCTGTGTCCTTTTTCCCTTGTTTTCCCCCTTTGCCCTGTCCCTGCCCTTTTTTTTTCCCTGTCCTGCCCTTCCCGTTTTCCTTCCCCTTGTCCTTTGTCCCTGTTCCTTTTTTTCCCCTTGCCCTTTTTTCCCTTTTTTCCCCGGCCCCTTGTTTCCTTTTTTTCCCTTCCCCTTTCCCCTTTTCCCCTTGTCCCTGTCTTTGCCGTCTTTTTTTCCCGTTCCCTTGTCCCTTGCCCTGTCGTTTTTGTCCTAGTCCCTGTCCCTGTCCCTGTCCCTGTCCCTGTCCCTGTCCCTGTCCCTGTCCCTGTCCCTGTCCTGTCCCTGTCCCTGTCCCCTGTCCCTGTCCCTGTCCCTGTCCCTGTCCCTGTCCCTGTCCCCTGTCCCTGTCCCTGTCCCTGTCCTGTCCCTGTCCCTGTCCCTGTCCCTGTCCCTGTCCCTGTCCTGTCCCTGTCCCTGTCCCTGTCCCTGTCCCTCTGTCCCTGTCCCTGTCCCTGTCCCTGTCCCTGTCCTGTCCCTGTCCCTGTCCCTGTCCTGTCCCTGTCCCTGTCCAGTCCCTGTCCCTGTCCCTGTCCCTGTCCCTGTCCCTGTCCCTGTCCCTGTCCCTGTCCCTGTCCCTGTCCCTGTCCCTGTCCCTGTCCCTGTCCTGTCCTGTCCCTGTCCCTGTCCCTGTCCCTGTCCCTGTCCCTGTCCCTGTCCCTGTCCCTGTCCCTGTCCCTGTCCCTGTCCCTGTCCCTGTCCCTGTCCCTGTCCCTGTCCCTGTCCCTGTCCCTGTCCCTGTCCCTGTCCCTGTCCCTGTCCCTGTCCCTGTCCCTGTCCCTGTCCCTGTCCCTGTCCCTGTCCCTGTCCCTGTCCCTGTCCCTGTCCCTGTCCCTGTCCCCTGTCCCTGTCCCTGTCCCTGTCCCTGTCCCTGTCCCTGTCCCTGTCCCTGTCCCTGTCCCTGTCCCTGTCCCTGTCCCTGTCCCTGTCCCTGTCCCTGTCCCTGTCCCTGTCCCTGTCCCTGTCCCTGTCCCCTGTCCCTGTCCCCTGTCCCTGTCCCTGTCCCTGTCCCTGTCCTGTCCCTGTCCCTGTCCCTGTCCCTGTCCCTGTCCCTGTCCCTGTCCCTGTCCCTGTCCCTGTCCCTGTCCCTGTCCTGTCCCTGTCCCTGTCCCTGTCCCTGTCCCTGTCCCTGTCCCTGTCCCTGTCCCTGTCCCTGTCCCCTGTCCCTGTCCCTGTCCCTGTCCCTGTCCCTGTCCCTGTCCCTGTCCCTGTCCCTGTCCCTGTCCCTGTCCCTGTCCCTGTCCCTGTCCCTGTCCCTGTCCCTGTCCCTGTCCCTGTCCCTGTCCCTGTCCCTGTCCCTGTCCTGTCCCTGTCCCTGTCCCTGTCCCTGTCCCTGTCCCTGTCCCTGTCCCTGTCCCTGTCCCTGTCCCTGTCCCTGTCCCTGTCCCTGTCCCTGTCCCTGTCCCTGTCCCTGTCCCTGTCCCTGTCCCTGTCCCTGTCCCTGTCCCTGTCCCTGTCCCTGTCCCTGTCCCTGTCCCTGTCCCTGTCCCTGTCCCTGTCCCTGTCCCTGTCCCTGTCCCCTGTCCCTGTCCCTGTCCCTGTCCCTGTCCCTGTCCCTGTCCCTGTCCCTGTCCCTGTCCTGTCCCTGTCCCTGTCCCTGTCCCCTGTCCCTGTCCCTGTCCCTGTCCCTGTCCCTGTCCCTGTCCTGTCCCTGTCCCTGTCCCTGTCCCTGTCCCTGTCCCTGTCCCTGTCCCTGTCCCTGTCCCTGTCCCTGTCCCTGTCCCTGTCCCTGTCCCTGTCCCTGTCCCTGTCCCTGTCCCTGTCCCTGTCCCTGTCCCTGTCCCTGTCCCTGTCCCTGTCCCTGTCCCTGTCCCTGTCCCTGTCCCTGTCCCTGTCCCTGTCCCTGTCCCTGTCCCTGTCCCTGTCCCTGTCCCTGTCCCTGTCCCTGTCCCTGTCCCTGTCCCTGTCCCTGTCCCTGTCCTGTCCCTGTCCCTGTCCCTGTCCCTGTCCCTGTCCCTGTCCCTGTCCCTGTCCCTGTCCCTGTCCCTGTCCCTGTCCCTGTCCCTGTCCCTGTCCCTGTCCCTGTCCCTGTCCCTGTCCCTGTCCCTGTCCCTGTCCCTGTCCCTGTCCCTGTCCCTGTCCCTGTCCCTGTCCCTGTCCCTGTCCCTGTCCCTGTCCCTGTCCCTGTCCCAGTCCTGTCCCTGTCCCTGTCCTGTCCCTGTCCCTGTCCCTGTCCCTGTTCCCTGTCCCCTGTCCCTGTCCCTGTCCCTGTCCCCTGTCCCTGTCCCTGTCCCTGTCCCTGTCCCTGTCCCTGTCCCTGTCCCTGTCCCTGTCCCTGTCCCTGTCCCTGTCCCTGTCCCTGTCCCTGTCCCTGTCCCTGTCCCTGTCCCTGTCCCTGTCCCTGTCCCTGTCCCTGTCCCTGTCCCTTTCCCTGTCCCTGTCCCTGTCCCTGTCCCTGTCCCTGTCTGTCCCCTGTCCCTGTCGTTCCCTGCTGTCCTGGGTCTGCCGGGTCGGGGGGTGGTCCGGGTCGGGGTCTGGGGGTTCTGTCATGGGCCCGGGGCTGTTTTGCTGGTCTGTCGTGGTCTGGGGTGTCTGGCCCTGCTGGGGGCCTGTTCGGGGCGGGCCCTGGCGTTTCTTCTGGTCCTGTCTGTCTGTCCTGGTCCTGGTGGTCGCCCTGGTTGCTGGTCCGCCCTGTCCGTCGGGTCCTGCCTTCCTGGTCTGGGTTTCGGGTTCCCCGGGTCGGTCCCTGCCCCCTGTCGTCCTGTTCCTGTCTGGCCCTGTCTGGGCGGCGGGTTTGGTCCGGGGCCCCTTTTCTGTCGGTCTGTGGGGTCTGCCCCTGTCTGTCTGGGGCCCTGGTCTGGCCGGGTCCTGGGCCGGGTCTGTGTCTGTCCGGGTTTCTGTCCTGTCGGGTGGTCTGCCTTCTGCCCTGGGGCTGCTGGTTGTCTGGTCTGTCCCTGCCCCTGTCTGGGGGTCTGGTTTCTGGTGCCCTGTGTCTGTTCTGGCCCGGGTCTGGTCCGGTCTGCCTTGGGTTGCTGTCGGGTCCTGTGGGTCTGGGTGCTGTCTGTTGTCTGAGTTCTGTCTTGTGCCCTGTTTTTTTTTTTTTTTTTTTTTTTTTTTTTTTTTTTTTTTTTTTTTTTTTTTTTTTTTTTTTTTTTTTTTTTTTTTTTTTTTTTTTTTTTTTTTTTTTTTTTTTTTTTTTTTTTTTTTTTTTTTTTTTTTTTTTTTTTTTTTTTTTTTTTTTTTTTTTTTTTTTTTTTTTTTTTTTTTTTTTTTTTTTTTTTTTTTTTTTTTTTTTTTTTTTTTTTTTTTTTTTTTTTTTTTTTTTTTTTTTTTTTTTCCCCTGCCCTGTCCCCCCCGGGCCCCCCGCCCGGGGCCCCTGCCCCGGTTTCCCCTGGGGGGGCCCTGCCCCTGGGGCCCCTGTCCCTGTTCCCTTTTCCCCCCTGGGGTTTTTGTCTGTCTTTTTGGGCCCCTGTCCCCTGGGGGGCCTGGGGGGGGGGGGTTGGGGGGGGGGGGGGGGTTTTTGGGGGGGTGGCCCCTGGGGGCCCGGGTTGGGCCCGCCGGGCCCCTGCCCCTGCCCTGGGGTTGCCCCTTTGGTTTCCCCTGCCCTGGGGTTTTTTTCCCCCCGGGCCCTGCCCGGGCCCGGCCCCGGCCTGGGGGGTTGGGGGGGGGGTTGGGCCCTGCCCCGGGTCCTGGGGGGGGGGGGGGGGGTTTGTTTTGGGGGGGGGCCCCTGGTTTGGCCCCTGCCCCTTTCCCCTGCCCCGGGTCTGCCCCGGGGCCCCGGGCCCCTGCCCCGGGGCCTCCCCGGGCCCGGCCCCGGGCCCTGCCCCTGGGGCCCCTGCCTGGGGCCCCTTCCCCGGGCCTTCCCCGGGTGGTCCTTCCCCTGTTCTGCCCTGTCGGGTCCCTGCCCCTGCCCGGGCCCGGGTTGGGCCCCTGTCCGGGCCCCTGCCTGTTGGGGCCCCTGTTTCCTGCCCCGTCCCTTCCCGGGCCCCTTCCCCGGGGCCCTTCCCCTGCCCCTGTCCGGGGTCCGGTTGGGTCCTGCCTGTCTGCTTTTCTTCCCGGGCCCCTGTCCTGCCCCTGCCCTGGGGGGCCGGGCCCCCTGGCCCCTGGGGTTTTCCCGGGCCCCCGCCCCTGTTGGGGGCCGGGCCCCTGTCCGGGGGGGGGGTTTTTGTTGGGGTGGGGGGGGGTTGGGGGGGGCCCTGCCCTGGGGGGCCCCTGCCCCTGGCCTGCCCTGCCCTGCCCCTGTCCTTTCCTGGCCTTTCCCCTGCCCGGGTCTGCCCCTGCCCTTCCCCCTGTCCGGGCCCTTCCCCGGGCCCCGGGGGTTTTTGTCCCCCCCTGCCCTGGTTTCCGGGCCCCTTTTCCTGCCTGCCCTGTGGGTCCGGGTTTTCCCGGGCCCTGCCCCTGGTTTCCGGGTCCGGGCCCCGGGGCTGGGGCCCCTGCCCCTGGGGTCCGGGTTGTCGGGGGGGGGGTTTTTGGGGCCCGCCCTGGGGGTTCGGGGCCTGCCCCTCCCCTGCCCCGGGGCGGGCTGGGTCCTTTTTCCCTGTCCTGCCCCTTCCCTTCCCTGGCCCCTGGCCCCGGGGACCCCTTTGGGGGCCCCTGGGCCCCTGCCCCTGCCTGTCGGGTCCGGGCCCCGGGCCCCTGGGGCCCTGTCCTGGTTCTGTTGGCCCCTGCCCCGGGGCCCCTGCCCCGGGGCCCCCCCGGGGCCCTTTGGGGGGTTGGGGTGGTTTCCCCTGGGGCCCCTTTTTGGCCCCTGCCCGGGGCCCTGGCCCCTTGGCCCTGCCCCTTCCCCTCCCCGGCCCCCTTTTGGCCCGGGGCCCTGTCCTTGGGGTCTGCCCCTGGTTTCCCCCCTTTTCTGCCCCGGGCCTGGTTTGTGCCCCGGGCCCTGGGGGTCCCTGTCGGGGGCCCCCCTGGGGGGGGTGGGGGGCCTTCCCCGGGTTTGTTCCCCCCTGTTCCCCTGGGGGGTTTCTGGGGCCTGCCCCGGGCCCCTGTTCCCTGTTGGGGCCCCTGCCCCGGGCCCTGGGGTTTTTTTCCCTGTCCTGGGGGCCGGGGCCCCCTGTTGGGTTGCCCCGGGGCCCGGGGTCCGGGGCCCCTGTCCCGGTTTCCCCGGGCCCGGGCGGGGTTTTGCCCTGCCCCTGCCCTGCCCGGGCCCTGTCTTCCCCTGGGGCCCCTGGGCCCCTTTCCGGGGCCGGGGCCCCTGTTTCCTGTTTCCCCTGGGGCCCTTCCCCTGTCCGGGTTGGGTCCGGGGTCGGGCCCCTGCCCTGGCCCCGGGTGGCCCCGCCCTGTTCTGTGGGCCCCGGGTCCTGCCCTGCCTGCCCCTGTTCCCCTGCCCCTGTTTCTGGGGCCCCTGCCCCTGCCTGGTTGGCCCCTGGTCCCCCCGTCCTGCCCTTCCCGGGCCCCGGGGGCCTGTCCTTCCCGGGGCCCTCCCCGGGCCCTTGCCCTGGGGGCCCCTGCCCCTGTTCCCCTTTCCTGCCCTGGCCCCGGGGCCCTTCCCCGGGCCCCGGGGGTTCTCCCCCCTGGCCCGGGGTTCTGGCCTTCCCCGGGCCCGGGCCCTTCCCGGGCCCCGGGCCCGGGCCCCTGCCCGGGGCCTGCCCTGCCCTCCCCTGCCCTGGGGGGCCCCTGTCGGGGTCCTGTTTTTTCCCCTGCCCCTTGCCCGGGGCCCTGGCCCCGGGGTCCTTTTGGCCCCTGCCCCGGGCCCGGGGCCCCGGGGGCCCCCCGGGCCCGGGGTTCCCCTGTTTCCCCCCCTGGGCCCCTGCCCCGGGGCCCTGCCCGGGTCTGTCCTGTTGGCCCCGGGGCCCCTTCCCCTGTCGGGCCCGGGTTTTTTTGGGCCCCTGCCCCTGTTGGTTCTGGCCTGTCCGGGGCCCCCGGGGGCCCCTGTCCTGTTGCCGGGTCCGGTTTCCCCGGGGTCCTGCCCGGGCCCCTCCCCGGGCCCCGTCCTGTTTCCGGGTCCTTTTTTCCCCCCTGGGTTGGGGCCCTGGGGGGGGTCCGGGGCCCGGGCCCTGCCCCTGTTTCCCCGGGCCCCTGGGGTCCTGTCGGGGTTTCCCCTCCCCCGGGCCCTGTTTTTGGGTCCGGGTCCGGGTTCCCCGGGGGCCCCCCGGGCTTTGTCCGGGTTTTTTCTGGGGGGGCCCCTGGGGTCGGGCCCCGGGGTCTTCTGCCCCGGGTTGCCCTGCCCCTGGGGGATTCCCCGGGTCTGCCCCTGGCCCCTGCCCCTTTGGGGGGCCCCGGGTCCCCTTTCGGGCCCTGGCCTGCCCCGGGGGCCCTGGGGTTTCTTTTCCCTTCCCCTGGTTTTCCCGGGGGTTGTTTCCCCTGGGGCCCTTCCTGGCCCCTTCCCCCCTGTTGGGTCCGGGCCCGGGGCCCGGGCCCCTGCCCCGGGGCCCCCTGGTTGCCCCTGGGGTTCTGGGGGCCCCGTTCCCCTGGTCTGCCCCGGGTTTGTCTGCCGGGGCCCTGCCCTGCTGCCCCTGCCCGGGCCCCAGCCCTGGTTTCCCGTTTGGTTCCGGCCCCTTTTCCTCGGGGCCTTCCCCTCGTTTCCCTGGGCCCCTGCCCCTGCCCTGGTGTGCGCCCTGTTGGGTTGGGGCTGCCCGGGCCGGGCCCGGGGCCCCGCCCCGGGGCCCCTGCCCTTCCCCGGGGCCCCCCTTCCGGGCCCGGGTCTGTCTGGGTTCCCCTGGCCCTGGGGGGGTTTCCCCGGGGCCCGGGCCCTTGGGGGCCTGGGCCCCCCGGGTCTGGGCCCTGCCCCTGCCCTGTCCCCCCTGGGGTCCTGTTCCCCCTGGCCCTGGGGTTTCCGCTGCCCTGGTCCCGGCCCCCTTTCCCCCCCGGGGTTATGCCCTGCCCTGGGCCCCTGTTGCAACCCCTTTCCTGGGTTTCTTTTTGCCCCTGGGGTCTGTCCCTTTTCCCTTTCTTCCCGGGGGGCCCTTCCCCGGGCCCTGCCCTGGGGGCCCCGGGGGCCCCTGTCCGGGTTTTTTTTCCCCGGGGCCCCTGTTTTTTGGTTCCCTGGGTCCTGGGTTTCCCTGTGTTGGTTTGGCCGGGGGTCTGGTTGCCCTGCCCCTGGGGCCCCTGCCCCTTTTCCCCTGCCCCTCCCCTGCCCCTGGGGTTCCCCGGGCCCCTGTTGGCCCCGCCCCGGGGGTCCGGGCCCCTTTCCCCCCTTTCCCTGGGGGGCCCTGTTCTGGGGCCCCGGCCCCTGTCCTGGGGGGCCCCGGGGCCGGGTTTCCCCCTGTCCTGTTGGGGGCCCCTGGGGCCCCTTTGGGGGTTTCTGCCGGGGGGCCCCTTTGTTTTCCCCGGGCCCCTGGGGATCCCCTTCCCTTCCGGGTCCTGCCTGCGGGTTTTTCCCTTTGCCGGGCCTTGGCCCCTGGGGCCGGGGCCCCTGCCCCTGCCCTGCGGGGCCCGGGGTCTGCCGGGGCCCTGGGGCTGCCCCTGTTCTTCCCCTGCCCGGGTTGGGGGCCCCTGCCCTGGGGGGGGCCCCGGGCCCCCGGGCCCCCCTGTCCTGCCCCGGGCCCTTCCCCGGGCCCCTGTCCTGCCCCGGGCCCTTCCCCTGGGGGTTGGGGGGTTGTTCCCGGCCCCTGCCCCGGGGCCCCGGGCCGGGTCCCTTTTGGCCCCGGGTCGGTGGGGGCCCCTTCCCCTGGGGGCCCCGGGGCCCCGGTGCCCCGGCCCTGGGGGGCCCCTGTCCTTTTCCCTGCCCCTTTTGGGCCCCGGGCCCCTGTCTTGTTGCCCCGGGGCCCCTGCCCCGCCCCTGCCCCTTCCCCTTTTGGGTTCCCCTTCCCTTCCCTGCGGGCCCCTGGGGGCCCCGGCCCGGGGTTGCCCGGGCCTGGTCCGTCCTGGGGCCCTGTCGGGCCCTGGGGGGCCCTGTTCCTGCCCCGGGGCCCGGGTCCTGGGTCCTCCCCTGCCGGGGCCCTGGGGGCCCCTTTCCTGCGGGTTGGGGGGGGCCCCGGGCCCGGGGCCCCTGTCCGGGTCCTGTCCGGGGCCCTTCCCCGGGGTTTCTGCTGCCCCTGGGGGCTTCCCTGCCCCGGGGCCCTTCTGCCCTGCCCTTCCTGCCCCGGGGGCCCCGGGCCCGGGGCCCGGGCCTGCCCCTGCCCGGGCCGTTTCCCCTGGGGGTCGGGGCCCCGGGGTTTTTTCCCCCGCCCCTGGGGCCCGGGGCCCCTGGGGCCCCTGCCCCTGCCCCTGGGGCCCCTGCCCCTCCCCTGGGGGCCCTGTTCCTGGGGGGGGGTTCGGGCCCCGGTTCCGGGCCCCTGCCTGGGGCCCCTGGGGCCTGTTCGGGCCCCTGCCTTCCCCTGGGGCCCTGGGGTTCCCGGGCCCCGCCCCTGCCGGGGTGCCCCGGGCCCCTTTCCCTTTTTCCCTTTTCCCGGGCCCGCCCCGGGTCCTGCCCTGTCTTCCCCTGCCCCTGTCCGCCTGTGGGGCCCGGGTTTCCCCGCCCTGGGGGGGTCCCCCCGTCTGCCCTGGGGGGGGGTTGTTTCCCCTGGCTGGTGCCCCGGGTGTCCGGGGTTCCGGGTTTGGGGGCCCCTTTTTCCCGGGTTGGGCCCCTGGGGGGGGGTTTTCCCCGGGGCCCCGTGTCTTCCGGGCCCCTTCCCCGGTTGTTGCCCGGGGGGTTTTTGGGTTGGGGTCCTGGCGGGCCCGGGCCCCGGGTTCTGCCCGGGTCTGGGGCCCTGGGGGCCGGGGCCCCGGCCCCTGCCCCTGGGTCCTGCCCTGCCCCTGGGGGGCCTTTTTCGGCCCCTGTTGTTTCCCCGGGCTGCCCCTGTGGGCCCCGGTCGGGCCGTCCGGTTCGGGGTCCTGTTGGGTTCCCCTGCCGGGGCCCCGGGCCCTGCCCCTGCCCCTGGCCCCTGCCCCGGCCTGGGGCCCGGGGGTTTTTCCCCGTCCGGGGGGCCCCTGCCCCGGGGCCCTTCCTTTCCCCCCTGCCCCGGGCCCCCGCCCCGCCTCCCCTGCCCCTTCGGGGCCCTGCCCGTTTCCCCTGGGGCCCGGGCCCTGCCCCTCCCCGGGGCCCCTGCCCGGGCCCGGGCCCCTGCCCCGGGCCCCTCCCCTTTCTGGGGGGGCCTGCCCTGGGGCCCCTGGGCCCTGGGGTCCTCCCCTGTCCCGGCCCTCCCCTTTTCCGGGGTTGCCCCTGTCCGGGCCCCTGTTTTCCCCGGGGGGTTTTGGGGTTTCCCCTTCCCCTGCCCCCTGCCCCGGGCCCCTGGGGGCCCCTTTGGGGTTTCCCGGGGTTTGCCCTGGTTGTCCTGCCCCTGTTCCCGGGTCTGCCCCGGGTTGGGGTGGCCCCCCTGGTTTTTCCCTGGGGGCCCCGGGTTGCCCGGGTCTGGGGTGTCCCGCCCCTTCCCCGGGGTTGGGGCCCCGGGGCCTCCCCGGGGCCCGGGGGCCCCCCTGTCGGGGCCCCGGGCCTGGCCCCTGCCCCGGGGCCCGGGGCCCCGGGCCCTGCCTGGGGGTTTTTGGGGTCCCCCCCTGTCCTGGCCCCTGCTGCCCTGCCCCTGTCCGCCCTGTTGGGGCCCCTCCCCTGCCCCGGGCCCCTGCCCTGTCTTGGGCCCCTGCCCTTTTCCTTTTCCTTTCCCCGGGCCTGTCCCGGGTGTCCTTCCTGGGGCGGGGTCCGCCCCTCCCCTTCCGGGCCCTGCCCTGGGGGGGCTGGGGGTTGGTCCCTGGGGGGTTGTCGGTCCGGGGCCCTGTCCTGGCCCTGGGGGTCCGGGCCCCTGCCCCGGGTCTGCCCCGGGGTGGGTCCTGGGGGGTCCTGTCCTGCCCTCCCCTTTCCCCTGTTTCGGGCCCTGGGGGCCCCTGGGGTCCGGGGCCTGCCCCTTTTGGGTCGGGTCCTGCCCCGGGCTGCCCCGCCCCGGGGTTCCCTGTTGGCCCCTTTCGGGCCGCTTCCCCGGGGCCCCTGTTGCCCCGGGGCCCCTTTTCGTCGGGTCCTGCCCCTGGGGCCCCGGGGCCCTGCCCCTGCCTGCCCCTGCTGCCCCGGCCCCTGGCCCCTTTTTTGCCCCTTGGCCCTGGGCCCCTGTCCTGCCCTGGGGCCTGCCCCTGTTGGGCCTTCCTGCCCGGGCCCCTGCCCCTGCCCCTTTGTCTGGTCTGGGTCTGTCCGGGGTTGGGCCCCTGGGGGGGGGGCCCCTGGGCCCCGGGTCTGTCTGTTTTCCCCGCCTGCCCCTGGGGTTCCGGGCCCCGGGCCCCGGGTCTGCCCGGGCCCCTGTTGGCCCCTGGGGCCCGGGCCCCCTGGTCCTGTCCTGGGGTCGCCGGGTTTTCCGGGCCCGGGCCCCTGTGGGGGCCCCCCGGGCCCCTGCCCCTGGGGTCCCCCCCTGCCCGGGTTGCCCCTGTTCCCTGTCTGGGGCCGGGCCCGCCCCTCCCCTGTTGTCGGCCCCTTCCCCTCCCCTGGGGGGCCCCTGCCCCTGTTCTGCCCCCTTCCCCGGGCCCTTTCCCCGGGGTCCCTGGGTTTCTGCCCCGGGCCCTGCCCCTGGGGCCCCTGCCTGGGGGTGCCCCGGGGGCCCCCCGGGGCCCCTGCCCTGGTCCTTCCCTGCCCTTCCCCGGGCCCCGCCCCGGGGTCCCCCCGGGTTTCCCCTCCCCGGGGCCCGGGGCCCGGGTCCTGCCCTCCCCTGGTTTTTTTCCCTGGCCCCTGGGGCCCTTCCCCGGGGGGTTGCCCTGTTGGGCCCTTTTTGGGGCCTGTCGGGGCCCCTGGTCTGTTCGGCCCCTGTCCTTCGGGCCCCCGGGGCCCTGGGGGGTTTCCTGGCCCCCCCGGGCCCCTGGGGGTCCTGGGCCCCTGCCCCGGGCCCGGGCCCCTCCCCTGGGGGGTTGGGTCGGGGGTTTTTGCCCTGCCCGGGGCCCCTGGGGGGTTTCCCTGCCCCTGCCCCGGGGTCCTTCCCGTTTTTGGGGGGCCCCGGCCCCGGGGCCCTGCCCGGTCCGGGCCCTGGGGGGTCTTTCCCCTGCCCGGTCCGGGCTGCCCTGCCCCCGGGTTGCCTTCCCCGGGCCCTGGGGGTCCTGCCTGCCCCTCCCCGGGGCCCCCCTGGGGCCCTTTCCGGGCCCCTGTTTCCCCTTTTCCTTTGGCCCCTGGTTTTGCCCTGGTTGCCCTTCCCCGGGGGCCCCCCCTGGGGGCCCTTCCCCTGCCCCTGGGGCCCTGGGCCTTCCCTGCCCTGCCCTGGGGGGCCCCCTGCCTGGGGCCTGGGGTCCGGGGCCCCTGTTGGTCCGGGTTGGCCCCGCCCGGGATCTTGGGGCCCCGGGGGGCCCCTTCCCCTGCCCTGAGGCCCCTGCCCCTGGCCTGTCCTGTTGTCTGCTGCCCTGGCCGCCCTGTCCTGCCCCCTGGGGGCCCCGGGCCCCCTTCCCCGGGCCCCGGGTGCCCCTGCCCGGGGCCCTGCCCTTCCCCGGGCCCTGTCCCGGGTTGGGCCGGGCCTGCCTGCCGGGCCGGCCCCGCCCCGGTCTGCCGGCGCCCGGGGCCCGGGCCCTTTGGGGTCGGGCCCCTGTCTGGGGCCCCTTTTTGGCCCCTGCCCGTTTCCCCTGCCCCTCCCCGGGCCCCTGCCCCTGGGGCCCTGGGGGGGCCCCTTCCCCGGGCCCTTGGCCCCGGGGGGCTGCCCTGCCCTGGGGGTTTTTCCCCTGCCTGCCCTGCCCCTGTTTCCCTGCCCTTCCCCGGGGTCCTGGGGCCCCTTTCCGGGGGCCGGGCCCCTGGGCCCTGTCGGGCCCTGGGGCCCCGGGGCCCGGGCCCCTGGGGTCCGGGGCCCCGGGGCCCCTGGGGGCCCCGGGTTGGGCCCCGGGGCCCGGGTTGGCGGGCCCTGCCTCCTGCCCTGGGGGGCCCTTTTTCCCTGTCCCTGCCCCTGTTTCCCTGTTGTCTGGGGGGCCCCCCTTTTGTCCTCCCCTGTCTGCCGGGTTTTGGGGGTTGGCCCCTGGGGGCCTGGCCCTTTCCCCGGGCCCCTGGCCGGGGCCCCTTCCCCGGGCCCCGGGGCCCCGGGGCGGGGTCCGGGCCCCGGGCCCCGGGCCCGGGCCCCTTCCCCGGGCCTGGCCCCCTCCCCTGCCCTGGGGGGGCCCCTGCCCCTGCCCCTGTCGGGCCTGGGGGGCCTGTTTGGGGCCCTTCGGTCTGTCCGGGCCCCTGCTGCCCCGGGCCCCTCCCCTTTCCCTGGGGTTTGCCCCTGGGGCCCCTGTCCTGCCCTGCCCCGGGGCCCCGGCCTTTTGGGCCCCGGGCCGGGTCCGGGTGTCCGGGTCCTTCCCCGGGTCGGGCCCCGGGCCCCTTTTGGGTCGGGCCCGGGTTCCTGTCTGTCCGGGCCCCGGGCCCCGGGGTCCTGCCGGTTCCCGGGCCGGGCCCGGGTTGGGTCCTGCCCCGGGGTCCTGCCCCCTGCCCCGGGTTGGCCCCTTTTCCTGCCCCGGGGTTCTTCCCGGGCCCCGGCCCCGGGGCCCCCTGGGGGCCCCGGGGCCCGGGCCGGGGCCTCCCCTGTTGGGCCCCTGTTTCCCCGGGCCCGCCCCGGGTGTCCCCCCGCCCCGGGGCCCTGGGGGCCCCGGGGCCCCCGGCCCCGGGGCCCCTTTGGGGGTTGGCCCCTTTTTGGCCCTGCCCTGCCCCGCCCCTGGGGGGCCCCGGGGGCCCCTTTTGGGGGGGTTCCGGGTCCCTCCGGCCCCGGGGCCCCTGTTGGGGCCCTCCCCGGGGGCCCCGTTTCGGGTTTCCCCGGGGGTTTTTCCCCCCCTGCCGGGCCCCTTCCTGCCCCTTCTGCCCCGGGCCGTTTCCCCTGGGGCCTGCGGGGCCTCCTGGGGTCTGCCTGGGCCCCGGGCCGGCCCCGGGCCCCTGGGGCCCTGTCCTGTTTTCCCTGCCGGGTTGACCCCCCTTCCCCGGGCTGGGGCCCGGGCTGCCCGGGGTCCTCCCCGGCCCCTTCTTGGTTGGGCCCCGGGCCCCTGGGGCGGGCCCTGGGGCCCCGGGTTCTGCCCCGGGTCCTGCCCCTGCCCTTCCCCTGTTGGGGGGTCGGGCCCTGGGGCCGCCCCTTCTGTTCCCCTGTCTGCCGGGGGGTTTTGGGGGGGCCCCTTTTGGCCCTGGGGGCCCCCCGGGTCCGGGGTCCTTCTGGGGGCCCCTGCCCTGCCCCTGCCCTGCCCCTGCCCCTGCCCTGCGGGCCCCCCCTGTTTTTTCCGGGCCCCTTTTCCCCCCGGGCCCTGCCCCTTGGGCCCCTGGGGTTCCCCCCTCCCCGGGGCCCCCCCGGGTCCTGTCCTGTCCGGGTTGGGGTTTCCCCTTCCCCGGGGTCCGGGGCCCCGGGCCCCCCGGGGCCCGGGTGCCCTTCCCCTGCCCCCGGCCCCTGCCCTGCCCTGCGGTTCCCTTCCCTGCCCCTGGTGGGGGCCCCCCGGGGCCCCTGCCCGGGGGGCCCCCCTGGGGCCCCTGCCCCTTGGGGGTGCCCCTGTCTGCCCCTGCCCCGCCCCTGCCCTTTTCCCCTGGCCTGGGGCCCCGGGGCCCCTGCCCCTGTCTCCCCTTCCCCTGGGTCCCTGCCCTGTTCTGGGGCCCCTGGGGGGGGCCCGGGGTTGGTCCTTTTCCCCGGGTCTGCCCCGGGCCGGGCCCCTGCCCTGTCCGGGTTGGGGGCCCCTTCCCCGGGCCCTGGGGGCCCTTCCCCTGGGCCCCGGGCTGGGGGGGTTTTTGCCGGGCCCCTTCCCTGGGGGCCCCTGGCCCCTGCCCTGGGGGCCCCGGGCCCTGCCCCTCCCCTGTTGCCCCGGGGGGCCCCCCTCCCCTGCCGGGGGCCCCTGTCCTCCCCGGGGTTCTGCCGGGCCCGGGGCCCCCTGCCTGGGGGGTCCTGGGCCCCCTGCCCCTGGCCTGGGGGCCCTGCCCGGGCCCCTGGGGGCCCCTTCCTGCCCCTGGGGGGGCCTGTTGGTCCTTTCCCCTGGTCCTGCCCCTTCCCTTTGGCCCTGGTTTCCCGGGGTTGCCCCTGTCCTTCCGCCCCGGGCCCCTGTCTCCCCTGCCCTGGGGCCCCGGGGCCCCTGGCCCCGGCCCCGTTTTCGGGCCCCAGCCCCTGCCCCGGGCCGGGTCTGGGGGGTCCCCCCGGGTTTCTGCCCTGGGGTTTTCCCCTGTTGGGGGTCCCTGTTTCTGTTCTGCCCCGGGGTGCCCCGGGTCGGGGTCCCTGGGGTTTTGGCCCTGTCCTGTCCCCGGGGGCCCTGTCCTGTCCTGGGGGGGGCCCCTTCCCCTGGTCCTGGGGTCCGGGCCGGGCCCCGGGCCCGGGCCCCGGGCCCCTGTTGGTGGCCCCTGCCCTGCCCCTGGCCCTTTCCTGTTTTCCCCTGCCCCTGCCCTTCCCCCCCCCGGGGGCCCGGGGCCTGTTCTGGGGGCCGGGCCCTGCCCGGGCCGGCCCGGGGCCCTGCCGGGGCCCTTCCCCCGGGGGTCCTGCCCTGCCCCTGGGGTGCCCCTGCCGGCCCCTGGGGTTCCTGGGGCCCCTGCCCCTGGTCCCTGGTCCTCCCCGGGCCTCCTGTGGGGGCCCTGCCCCTGTCCCCCCCGGGCCCTTCCCTGGGGTTTGCCCCTGTGCCCCTTTGCCCCGGGTGGGCCGGGGCCCTTCCCCTGTCCTGTTGGCCCCGGGCCCCGGGGTTTTTTGGGGCCCCTGGGGTCTGCCCGGGCCTGTGGGGGGGCCCTGCCCTTTTGTTGGGGGGGGGGGCCCCCCGGGCCCCGGGTTGGCCCTGCCCCTGTCCTGCCCCTGCCCCGGTCGGGCCCCTGCCCCTGCCCTGCCTGCCCCTTTTTCCCCTGGGTTCCCGGGGTTGCCCCGGGCCCCGGGCCCCTTCCCCTGGGGCCCCTGGGGCCCGGGGTCCTGTTGCCCGGGGCCGGGCCGGGTCCCTGTCGGGCCCTGGGTCTTCCCGGGCCCCCGGGGTGGGGGTCCGGGGGCCCTTTGGGCCCCTGGGCCTTGTTCCCCTGCCCTGCCCGGGGTCTTCCCCTGCCCCTGGGGCCTCCCCCTTCCCTGGCCTTCCCCTGCCCCTTTCCCTGCCCTGGGCCCCTCCCGGGCCCTGCCCGGGCCCCTTGGGGGGGCCTGCCCCCTGGGGGGGTCCGGGGGTTTTTCCCCCCGGGTGTCTGTCCTGTCTGGGGTCCCTGGCCCCTTTTCCCCCCTTGGGTTCGGGCCCTGGGGGGCCCCGGGCCCCGGGGTTGTCGGGTCCTGCCCGGGTTGGGCCCCTGCCCCCGGGCCCGCCCCTGGGGTCCGGGCCCCTTCCGGGCCCCTGGGGCCCCTTTTGGGTCCTGTTTCCCTGTTCCCCCTTTGTTGGCCCTGGGGCCCTGCCCTGCCCCGGGGTCTGCCTGCCCGGGGGCCCGGGCCCTTCCCCTGGGGGGCCCTGTTCCGGGGGCCCCCGTTGCCGGGTTTTCCCCGGGGGCCCCGGGCCCCGTCCTTTTCCTGCCCCTGGTTGCCCCTGGGGTCCCGGGCCCTGCCCCGGGGGTCCTGGCCCCGGGCCCGGGGGGGTCTGGGGGTGTCCTTCCGGGTTCCGGGTTTTTGGTCTGCCCCTTCCTGCCCCGGCCCCGGGCCCCTGCCTGGGGGCCCTTGCCCCTGCCCCTGTCTGGTTCCTGGGGCGGGGCCGCCTGCTGCCTGCCCTCCCCTGGGGTTGCCCCGGGCCCCTGTCGGTGGCCCCGGGCCCCTGCCCCTGGGGGGTCCCTGTCCTGCCCCGGGCCCCTGGGGCCCGGGTTTTTCCGCCCCGCCCTGTCCTGGGGGCCCCTGCCCCTGCCCCTGGCCCGGGCCTGCCCCGGGGCCCTGTTGGTCCTGCCCCTTCCCGGCCCCTGCCCCCTGTTGGGCCCCGGGGGTTTTTTTCCCCCTGTGGTTTCCCCTGGGGCCCCTGCCCCTGGGGGGCCCCTTCCCCTGTTCTTCGTCTGCCCCGGGGTCCTGGCCGGGTCCCTGGGGTTTCCTGTCTGCCCGGGGTTTTTCCCTTGTCTGGCCCCTGGGGCCCTGTTGGTCCTTTCCCCCTGCCCTGCCCGGTTTGGCCCCTGGGGCCCTGCCCCTTCCCCTTTTCCCCTTCCCGGGTCCTGCCCTTCCCTTTGGGCCCCGGGCCCGGGGTCTGCCCCTTTTTGGGGGCCCGGGCCCTGTGCCCCGGGGCCTGGGGGGGTCCCTGCCCGGGGCCCCTTCCCCTGGGGGGTTCCCTTCCCTTTCCCCGGGCCCTGGGGGGCCGGGCCCCTCCCCTGGGGTTGGGGGTTTTTCTGCCCCGCCTGGGGCCCCTGCCCCGGGTCCCTGTCCTGTCTTCCTTGTCCCGCCCTTCCGTTGGTTTTTCCTGGTTTTCCCTTCCTTTCCCTGTTTCCTGGGTTTTTTAAAACCCCGGGGCCCTTTTCCTTTGTTTGTTTCCCGCCCTTCCCTGGCCCCGGGGCCTGGGGCCCGGGTTTCCCCCCTGCCTGGGGCCCGGGCTGGGGGCCCGGGCCCGGGGTTTCTTTTGGTCCTGGGTTCGGGGCCCCGGGCCCCTGTGCCCGGGTCCTGCCTGGGGCGGGCCCTGTCCTGGGGCCCGGGCCTGTTCCCTGCCCCGGGCCCCTTCCCCTGGGGTCCTGTTTTCCCTGGGGCCCTTTTCCCTGCCCCTGCCCCTGGGGTCCGGGCCCTGCCCCGGTCCTGTGTTGGGGCCCCTGTGGGGTCCCGGGGCCCTGCTGTCCTGTTTTTCCCGGGTCTTTCCCGGGGTTTTCGGGCCCCTTCTGCCCCGGCCTCCCCGGGCGGGTTTTTCCCCTGGTTTTTCCCTGTTGGCCCCTCCCCGGGTGGGTTTTCCCTGCCCCGGGTCTGTCCTGGCCCGGGTTCCCCTGGCCTTCCCCGGGCCTGGGGGGTCCCTGGGGGGGCCCGGGGCCCCTCCCCTGCCCCGTTCCGGGTCCTGTCGCCCGGGTCGGGGCCCCTGTCCTGCCCCTTTTGGCCCCGGGGCCCTGGCCCTGCCCCCCCGGGCCCCTGCCCTGGGGGGTTTCCTGCCCTGGGGGGGCCCTTTCTGTCGGGCCGGGTTGGGCCCCTGCCCCGGGTCCTTGGGGGGTTTTTTGCCGGGCCTGGGGCCCCTGCTGCCCCTGTGGCCCGGCCCTGGGGTCGCCCCTGCCCCTGGGGGCCCCTGCCCCTGGGCCCCTTGGGGGGCCCGGGCCCCTGGGGCCCCTTCCCCGGGCCGGGGTCTGGGGCCCCTGCCCCTGCCCTGGGGTCCTGCCCCGGTGCCCCTTCCCTGGCTTTTGGGCCCCTGTCTGCCCTGGTCCTGCCCTGGGGGCCTTTTTGGGTTCCCCCGGGTTTCCCCGGGCCCCGGGCCCCGGGGTTTCCCGCCCCGGGCCCCTTCCCCGGGTTCCCTGTGGGGTTGTTTCCGGGGCCCTTTGGGGTTTCCCTTTTGGGCCCTGCCCCGGGCCCCTGGGGCCCCGGGGTGGCCCCTTCCCCCTTTCCCGGCCGGGCCCCTGGGGTTTTGGGGGGTTTCCCCGGGTCCTGCCCTGGGGGGCCCGGGCCCCTTCCCGGGCCTGTTCCCCTGTGGGCCCCTGTCCGTTGGGGGTTTTCTGCCCTGCCCGGGTCGGGGCCCCTGCCCCGGGGTTGCCCCGGGTTGGGGGCCCTTTCCTGCCCTTCCCTGCCCCGGGCCCCTGCCCGGGGCTGCCTGGGGCCTGTGCCCGCCCGGCCCTGCCCCCCCGGGGTCGGGCCCCTGCCCCGGCCTTCCCTGCCCCGGGGGTTCCCCTTTTGGCCCCTTTTGGCCCGGGTCCCGGGCCCCGGGGTCCGTCCTGCCCCTGGGGTCTTCCCCTGCCCCTGTTCCCCGGCCCCGGGGGGGTTGGGCCCCGGGGCCTGTTGCCCCGCCTTCCCCTTCCCCGTTCCTGGTTCCCCCGGGTGGGGCCCCTTTTGGGCCCCGGGTTCCCCCTGCCCTTTTTCCCTGCCCTGCTGCCCCTGCCCCTGTTCCCCTGTCCTCCCCTGCCCGCCCTGGGGGCCTGGGGGGCCCCTGCCCCTGGGCCCGGGCCCTGCCCGGCCCCGGGCCCTGTCCTGCCCGCCCTTCGGGCCCCTGGTCCGGGCCCGGGTCTGGGGTTCCTGGGGCCCCGGGGCCCGGGCTGGGGGCCCCTTTCCTGCCCCGGGCCCGGGCCCTGCCCCGGGGCCTTCCCCTCCCCCTTCCCCTGCCCCCCCTGGGGTCCGGGGTCCTGTTGGGCCTTTTGGCCCCGGGTTTCCCCTGGGGGCCTGTCGGGTCCTGTTTTCCCCGGCCCTGCCCTGGGCCCCTGTTTTGGGGTTCCCCTGCCCTTCCTGCCCCGGCCGGGTTTGCCCTGCCCCGGGGGCCCTGCCCCTGTTTTTCCCTTTCCGGGCCCCGGGCCCTGGGGTCGGGCCCCTTCCCCGGGCTCCCCGGGCCCCTTCCCCTTCCTGTTGCCCGCCCCTGCCCTGGGGCCCGCCCTGTTGGTCCTGCCCCGGGCCCTGGGGCCTCCCCGCCCCGGGGTTGGGGGCCTGGGGCCCCCTTGGGTTCCCCCCTGTCTGCCCGGGCCCTTTCCCCGGGGCCGGGTCCTGTTGGTTGTTTTTGGGGCCTGCCTGCCCCGCCCGGGGGGCCCCCCGGGTTGCCCCGGGGCCGGGTGGGTCCGGGGCCTGCCCTGCCCTGTTCTTCCCCTGCCCCCCCCTGGGGGGCCCCTGCCCTTTTCCCCTTGTTGGCCCGGGGTCCTTCCCCTGCCCCTTCCCCGGGCCCCTGTTTTTCCCTTTCCCGGGTTTCCTGTGGGGTCCCCCCTGCCCTGCCCTTTCCCTCCCCGGGGGTCCCGGGTTGGCCCCGGGGCCCCTGCTGGGGCCCCTGTTGCCCCTTTCGGGGCCCTCCCCGGGTTGGGGTTTTTTTCCCTGGGGCCTTTTCCTTGTTGTCCTTCCCGCCCCTCCCCTGCCCTGTCTGCCCCTGCCCCTGGGGGGCCCCTGCCCCTTTTGGGGGCCCCGGGCCCCGGGTCCCCCTCCCTGGGGGGGCTGCCCGGCCCTTCCCGGGGTTTTCCTGGGGTGTCCCTGCCCCTGGGGGGTCCGGGTCTGGCCCTGGGGGGGGTCTGGTCCGGGCCCCTGCCCTGCCCCGGGGGTGTCTGCCCGGGGGCCCCTGGCCCTGTCGGGTGGGTCGGGGTCCTGGTCTGGGGGGGGTTTTTTTCCCCCTGGGGGGTTCCCTGTTGGTGGGGCCCCGGGACCCCTGTCCGGGTTTCCCCGCCCTGCCCCTGCCCCTGCCCCTGCCCCTGCCCTGCCCCTGGGGGGGCCCGGGCCCGGCCCCGGGCCCGGGGGTGCCGGCCGCCCCGGTTGCCCCTGGGGGGCCTGGGGGGTTGGCCCGGTGGCCCTGTCCTTCCCTGGCCCCTCCCTTCCCCGGGGGGCGCCCCTGCCTTGGGGTTGTTTTCTGCCCCTGGGGCCCTCCCCTGGGGCCCCCGGGCCCTGTTCCCGGGGTTGGGCCCTGGGGGCCCTGGTCCCTGTCCTGGGGCCCCGGGGCCCCTGTTGTTCCCGGGTCTGCCCTTGGTCCTGGCCCCGGGCCCCGGGCCCCGGGCCCCTGTTTCCCGGGCCCCTGGCCCCGGGCCGGTCCTTCCTCGGCCCCGGGGCCCCTGTCTTTGGGCCCGGGCCCCGGGCCCTGGTTCCTGGGGTTGGGGGCCCCGGGCCCCGGGGCCCCCTGGCGGTTTGTTCTTCCCTGTTGGGGGTCCCGGGCTGTTGGGGGGGTTCCCTGCCCCTGGTCCTTTTGGCCCCCGGGCCCCGGGGTTGCCTTCTGCCCCTGCGGGCCCCGGGCCCGGGTCCTGGGGGTGGGGGCCCCGGCCCCTGTCTGTCCGGTCCGGGCCCCTTGCCCCGGGTTGGTTTGGGGCCCTTCCCCGGGTCTTTTTGGGGGGGGTTGGGGGTTTCTGCCCGGGCCTGGGGGCCTCCCCGGGGGGGCCCTTCCCGGGTTTCCCTGGTCCCTGCCCTGGCCCCCCCCCCCCTGCCCGGGTTTGGTCCTGTCCTGGCCCTGGGGGCCCCTGGGGTTTCCGGGCCCCTGCCCTCCCCTGGGGTTTCCCCGGGTCCTGCCCTGTCCTGGGGGCCCCTGCCCCGGGTCGGGCCCCTGGGGGGGGTTTTTGGCCCCTGGGGGCCCGGGCCCCTTGCCCCTGCCCCCGGGCCCCGGGCCCCTTTGGGGGTCTGGGGGTTGGCCCCTGTCTTTTGTTTTCCCCGGGTCCTGGGGTCCGGGTTTGCCCCTGCCCCCTGGGGTCCCCTTTCCCTGGGGGGTTGCCCTTCTGCCTGTTCGGGGCCTGCCCCGGGCCCTGGCGGGGCGGGCCCCTCCCCGGGGGGCCGGGCCCTGGCCCCTGCCTGGGGGTTCCCTGGGGTTGGCCCCCTGTCTGGGCCCAGTCCCTGCCCCTGCCCCGGGGCCCCTCCCCGGGCCCCGGGGTCCGGCCGGGGTTGGGCCCTTCCTGCCCTGCCCCTTTGGGCCGGCCCTGCCCCTGGCCCCTGCCCCGGGCCCCTGGTTTTTTGGCCCCGGGCCCCTTCCCTGGGTCCCCTGCCCCTGGGGCGGGCCCCTGCCTGGGGCCCCCTTTCGGGGTTTCCCCTGGGGCCCTCGGGCCCTGGCCTGCCCCTGCCCTGGGGCTGTTCCCTGGGGCCCCTGTGGCCCCTGCCCCTGCCCGGGTTTCCGGGTCCGGGGTTCTGCCCGGGCCCTGGGGCCCCTGGGGGTCCTTTGTCCCCTGTCTTTTGGGCCCCTTTCGCCCGGGGTCCCTGTTTCCCCTCCCCTGGGGCCCCGGGGGGCCCCTTTCCCCCCCTGGCCCCGGGTCGGCCCGGGCCCCTGTCCTGTTTCCCGGGCCCCTGGGGGGTTCCCCGGGGGCCCCCCTGCCCCGGGGCCCCTGCCCTTCCCCGGGCCCCGGGTCGGGCCCCTGCCCGCCCGGGCCCTGCTGGGGGGTTGCCCCTGGGGCCCCGGGGCCCCTGGGGCCTGTTCCCCTTCCCCGGGGCCGGGGCCCCTTTCCTGTCCCCCCTTTCCCTGTTTGGGCCTTCCCCTTAGGCCCCTGCCCTGCCGGGGTTTCGGGCCCCTGTTGGCCCTTCCGGGTTGCCCCTTCCCCTGGGGGGGGGTTGGTCCTGGGGTCCTGCCCCTGGGGGTCTGCCCTGCCTTCCCTGCCCCTTCCCGGCCCGTCCTGCCCGGGTCCCTGCCTGCCGGGGCCTGCCCCTGCTTGGTCCTGGGGGCCCCTGCCCCTTCCCTGGGGCCCCTTCCCCTGCCCCGGCCCCTCCCCTGGGGGGCCCTGGGTTTTTCGCCCCGGGCCCCGCCCCGTCCGTCCTGGGGCCCTGGGGCCCCTGTTGGCCCCCGGGTGGTCTGGGGCCCCGGGGTCCTCCCCTGGGCCCCTCCCCCGGGGTCCTGCCCCGGGCCCTGCCCCGGCCCTGTCCCTTTCCTGGGGGCCGGGTCCTGGGGGGGGGGGCCCCTGGGGGGCCCCTTTTGGGTTTTTGGCCCTTCCGGCCCTGCCCCTGGCCCCTGCCTTTTTGGCCGGGCCCCTGTTGGCCCCCTGCCCTTTTTGGGGTCGCCCCTGGGGCCCCGGCCCTTCCCTGTCCTGGGGGCCCCGGGCCCCCGGGGCCCTGGGTCGGGGGGGTTTTCCCCCGGGGTTTCCGGGCCCCTGTCCTGCCCCTGTTGGGCCCGGGGGGCCCCTGCCCCTGGGGTTTCCCTGGGTCCGGGCCCCCCGGGGTTTCCCTGCCCCGGGTTGGGCCTCCCCGGGGGTCCTGGGGGCCCGGGCCCCTGTTGGGGGGGGCCTGTCCGGCCCTTTTCCCTGGGGCCCCGGGGCCCTTTTGGTTCGGGCCCCTGCCCTGCCCCTGGGGGCCCCTGTCCGGGTTGTTTGCCCGGGTTCCCCCCTGGGGCCCGGGGCCCCTGGGGTTCTGGGGGGGCCTGGGGGGCCCTTTTTGGGGCCTGTTTCCCTTTCCCTGTTTCCTTGGGGTGGGGGCCCCTGCCCTGGGGGGCCCTGCCGGTGGGTCCTCCCCGGGGGTTTTGGTTTCCCGGGCCCTGCCTTCTCCCCTGGGGGGCCCTGCCGGTCGGGCCCCGGGGGCCCGGGGTCTGCCCCTGGGGCCTGTTGCCCCTGCCTGCCCTGTTCTGGGGGGCCCCGGGGCCCCTGTCGGGTTGGGCCCCTGGGGGGTCCTGGGGGGCCCCTCCCCTGGGGCCCCGGGGTCCTGGCCCCTTCCTTTCCCCTGGGGGGTTTTTGGCGGGCCCCTGCCTGTTCCCTGTTGGGGTCCGCCCTGGGGGGTGCCCTGCCCTGGCGGGTGGCCCCTTCCCTGCCCCTGTCTGTTTTTTGGGGGGTCCTGGGGGTTGGCCCCTGGGGGTTGGGCCCGGTCCTGCCCTGGGGGGTCCCTGGGGGCCCTGCCCCTGTTGCCCCGGGGCCCCTTTCCCGGGGCCCCTGCCCCTGCCCTGCCCTGCCCCGGGGGGTTTTTTTTCCCGGGCCCCTGCCCCTGGGGTCGGGCCGGGCCCGGGGTCCCTGCCTGCCTGCCTTTTTCCTGCCCCGGGCCCCTGTCCGGGCCGGGTCCCCCTTCCCCGCCCGCCCCTGGGGCCCCGTCTGCCCCCGGGTCCGGGCCCCTGTTGGGGGGTGTTGGGGGGGCCCCCCTGTCTGCCCCGGGCCCTTTTTCCTGGGGCCCCTGGGGCCCGCCCTGCCCCGGGCCCCGGGCCCCTGTTCGGGCCCCTGCCGGGGCCCGGGGCCCTTCCCGGGGCCGGGCCCGCCTGCCCCTGCCCTTCCCCTGTTGGCCTCCCCTGGGGCCCCGGGGTTGTCCGGTTGTGCCCCTGTCCTGCGGGCCCCGGGCCTGGCCCCGGGGTCGGGCCCCGGGCCCGGGTCCGGGCCCCGGGGGTTTCCCCGTCGGGCCCTCCCCCTTCCCCGGGCCCTTCCCCGGGGTTTTCTGGGGGGGGCCCCTGGGTTGTTTCCCTGGGCCCCGGGCCCCGGTTTTCCTGGCCTGGGGGGTTTCCCCGGGCCCGGGGCCCCTGGGGGGCCCTGCCCCTGCCCGGCCCCTGCCCCTGCCCGGTCGTCCGCCCCGGGCCCCTGGGGGGCCCCCCCGGGCCGGGCCCGGGGCCGGGCCCCTGCCCTGGCCCGGGGCCCTTTGGTTTGGGGCCCTGGGGGTTTTCGGGGTTTCCCTTTCCCTGGGGGGGGTCCTGCCGGGCCCGGGGCCTTCCCCTTTTGGGCCCTGGCCCGGGCCCCGGTCCTTCCCCTGGGGGTCCGGGCGTCGGGTCGGGTCTGTCTGTGTTCTGGTTCCTTTCGGGTCCTGTTGTCTTCCCCCCTTCCCTGCCCGGGCCTGCCCTTTTCCCTGTTCTGTCGGCCCTGTCTGTCTGCGGTTCGGGGTCCTGTCCGGTCTGTTCTGCTGGTCCTGGTCCGTCTTCGCTGTTTGTTCCTGGGTCTTCCTGGCCCTGGTCCTTTCCCTGGCCCTTCCGGGCCCTTCTGGCCTGGTCTGTTGGTCTGGGTCCTGGTCTGTTCCTGGTCCTGGTCCTGTTGGGGGGTCCTTCTTCTGTCTGGTCCTGTCCTGCCTTCTTTTCTGGCCCCTGTCTGTCTGGGGGTCGGGGGTTTCCTGCCTGCCGGTCGTTCCTGTCTGGTTTTCCCTGTCCCGTCCTGTCTGTCCTGGCCTTTTTTGGGTCCTTTCCGGGCTGTCTGTTCGGGTTCTGTCTGGTCGGGGCCTGTTCTGGTGTGGTTTTGCTGCCCCCTGGTCCGGGTCTGTCTTCTGGTCCTTTCGGGTTCCGGGTGCCCTGGTCCTGTCTGGCTGCCCTTCCTGTCTGCCCTCCTGTCCTTGTCTGGCCCCCTGTTCTGCCTGTCTGGGTTTTTTCCCGGGTCTTCCTGTCCTGCGGGTCCCCCCCCCCCCCCCCCCCCCCCCCCCCCCCCCCCCCCCCCCCCCCCCCCCCCCCCCCCCCCCCCCCCCCCCCCCCCCCCCCCCCCCCCCCCCCCCCCCCCCCCCCCCCCCCCCCCCCCCCCCCCCCCCCCCCCCCCCCCCCCCCCCCCCCCCCCCCCCCCCCCCCCCCCCCCCCCCCCCCCCCCCCCCCCCCCCCCCCCCCCCCCCCCCCCCCCCCCCCCCCCCCCCCCCCCCCCCCCCCCCCCCCCCCCCCCCCCCCCCCCCCCCCCCCCCCCCCCCCCCCCCCCCCCCCCCCCCCCCCCCCCCCCCCCCCCCCCCCCCCCCCCCCCCCCCCCCCCCCCCCCCCCCCCCCCCCCCCCCCCCCCCCCCCCCCCCCCCCCCCCCCCCCCCCCCCCCCCCCCCCCCCCCCCCCCCCCCCCCCCCCCCCCCCCCCCCCCCCCCCCCCCCCCCCCCCCCCCCCCCCCCCCCCCCCCCCCCCCCCCCCCCCCCCCCCCCCCCCCCCCCCCCCCCCCCCCCCCCCCCCCCCCCCCCCCCCCCCCCCCCCCCCCCCCCCCCCCCCCCCCCCCCCCCCCCCCCCCCCCCCCCCCCCCCCCCCCCCCCCCCCCCCCCCCCCCCCCCCCCCCCCCCCCCCCCCCCCCCCCCCCCCCCCCCCCCCCCCCCCCCCCCCCCCCCCCCCCCCCCCCCCCCCCCCCCCCCCCCCCCCCCCCCCCCCCCCCCCCCCCCCCCCCCCCCCCCCCCCCCCCCCCCCCCCCCCCCCCCCCCCCCCCCCCCCCCCCCCCCCCCCCCCCCCCCCCCCCCCCCCCCCCCCCCCCCCCCCCCCCCCCCCCCCCCCCCCCCCCCCCCCCCCCCCCCCCCCCCCCCCCCCCCCCCCCCCCCCCCCCCCCCCCCCCCCCCCCCCCCCCCCCCCCCCCCCCCCCCCCCCCCCCCCCCCCCCCCCCCCCCCCCCCCCCCCCCCCCCCCCCCCCCCCCCCCCCCCCCCCCCCCCCCCCCCCCCCCCCCCCCCCCCCCCCCCCCCCCCCCCCCCCCCCCCCCCCCCCCCCCCCCCCCCCCCCCCCCCCCCCCCCCCCCCCCCCCCCCCCCCCCCCCCCCCCCCCCCCCCCCCCCCCCCCCCCCCCCCCCCCCCCCCCCCCCCCCCCCCCCCCCCCCCCCCCCCCCCCCCCCCCCCCCCCCCCCCCCCCCCCCCCCCCCCCCCCCCCCCCCCCCCCCCCCCCCCCCCCCCCCCCCCCCCCCCCCCCCCCCCCCCCCCCCCCCCCCCCCCCCCCCCCCCCCCCCCCCCCCCCCCCCCCCCCCCCCCCCCCCCCCCCCCCCCCCCCCCCCCCCCCCCCCCCCCCCCCCCCCCCCCCCCCCCCCCCCCCCCCCCCCCCCCCCCCCCCCCCCCCCCCCCCCCCCCCCCCCCCCCCCCCCCCCCCCCCCCCCCCCCCCCCCCCCCCCCCCCCCCCCCCCCCCCCCCCCCCCCCCCCCCCCCCCCCCCCCCCCCCCCCCCCCCCCCCCCCCCCCCCCCCCCCCCCCCCCCCCCCCCCCCCCCCCCCCCCCCCCCCCCCCCCCCCCCCCCCCCCCCCCCCCCCCCCCCCCCCCCCCCCCCCCCCCCCCCCCCCCCCCCCCCCCCCCCCCCCCCCCCCCCCCCCCCCCCCCCCCCCCCCCCCCCCCCCCCCCCCCCCCCCCCCCCCCCCCCCCCCCCCCCCCCCCCCCCCCCCCCCCCCCCCCCCCCCCCCCCCCCCCCCCCCCGTCCTTCCTGTCCGCCCCGGGTCCCTGTCCTTTTCCCGGGTCCTGCCCCCTGCCCCGGGCCCCCGGGTTTTTTCCCCTGGCCCCGGGTTTTTCCCTTCTGCCCCGGGCCCCGGGTCCTTCTTCCTTCCTTCCTGCCCTTTTTTTTTTGGGGCCCCCTGCCCCTTTGGTCCTTCCTTTTCCTGCCCTGCCCCTGCCCGGGGCCCGGGTTTTTGGGGCCCTGCCCTGTCCGTCCTTTCCCCCGGTCCTCCCCCGGTCCTGTTGTCCGGGGCCCTTCCCTGCCCCTTCCCCCGGGCCCTGGTCCTGTCCCGGGTCCCTGCCCCTGGCCCCTGCCCCTGTCCGGCCCCGGGGCCCTTCCGGCCCCGGGTCCCCCCCGCCCCTTTTTGGGCGGGCCCCCTTTTCCCCTTTCCCCCCGGTCCTTCCTTTTCTTCCTGGCCCTTTCCCCTCCCTTCCCTGCCCCGGGTCCTGGTCCCTTTCCTGGTCTTTCCCCCCTTCCTGTCCTGCCCCTTCCCCCCGGGCCCCTTCTGCCCCTGCCCCTGCCCCTTTTTCCCCTTCCCCGGCCCCGGGCCTCCCGGGTCCTGGTCCCTGCCCCTTTGGGCCCCCCCTGGCCCCGGGTTTCCCCGGCCCCCTGCCCCTGGCCCCTGCCTGCCCCTGTTGGGTCCTGTCCTTTCCCCCTTCCGGGGCCCTGCCCCTGTTTCCTTCCTGGGCCCCCTTGCCCCGGGTCCGGTCCCTGGTCTGCCCCGGGTTTCTTTCGGGCCCCTTCCCCCTGGGGGGTTTGGTTTTCCCCTTCCGGGTCCCCCGGGTCCGGGTGGGTGGGTCCCTTCCTGGGGCCCCGGGCCCCCTGTCCTTCCGTCCGTCCGGGTTTCCCCGGGCCCCTGCCCCTGTCCCCCCCTTTCCCTGCCGGGCCCCGCCCCGGGCCCCTTCCCCGTTGTCCTGGGGGGTTTTCCCCGGGCCCCCGGGTCCCCCCCTGTCCTGTCCTGTCCTTTTGGGGCCCTGTCCTGGCCCCGGGTCCCGGGGTCCCCTGGTCCTTTTTTCCCCGGGGCCCTGTCCTGCCCCTGGTTTTCCCCTGCCCTGTCCCTCCCGGGTTTTTTTTGGGGGCCCCTGCCCGGGGTCCCTGCCCGGGTCGGGGCGGGGCCCCTTCCCTGGCCCCGGGTCGGGTCCCTGCCCCTGTCCTGCCCCTTCCCCGGGTCCTTCCTTTCCCTGCCCGGGTTGGGTTTCCGGGCCTGCCCCTGTCCTGCCCCCTTCCCCCTGCCCTTTTCCCGGGTCCCCTGCCCCTTCCCGGGTCCGGGTTTTTTCCCGGGTTTTCCCTGCCCCTGCCCCTGCCCCTGCCCCGGGCCCTCCCCCGCCCTTTCCGTCCTTCCCGGTCCCTGTTTTTTTTTCCCCCCCGGGCCCTTTTCCGGGCCCCGGCCCCGGGTTGGGCCCTTCCCTGTCCGGGCCCCTGCCCCTGTCCGGGCCCCTGCCCCTTTCCCTGGCCCCTGTCCTGTCCCCTGCCCCTTTTTGGGTCCTGGTCCCTTTTTCCGGCCCCTGGGGGGCCCCTTCCTTTCCTTGTTTTCCGGGGTTTCCTGTCCGGGCCCCTTTTTTCCTCCCCCTTCCCCGGGGTCCGTTCCTTTTGGGTCCTGTCCGGGTCCTTTCGTCCGGGCCCCGGGCCCTTCCTTGTCTCTGCCCCTGCCCTGCCCCTGCCCCGGGGTCTGCCCCCTGTCTTCCGGGCCCCTGCCCCTGTTTTTTCCCCTGCCCCGGGTCCCTGTCTGGCCCCTGCCTGTCCTGTCCCGGGCCCCGGTCCCGGGTCCTGCCCCCGGCCCCTTCCTGTCCTTTCCGTCCCCCCCTGTCCTGCCCCTTCCCGGGCCCCCTTCCTGTCCTGCCCTTTTCCCTTCCCCCGGGCCCCTTTCGGGTCCGGGGTCCCGGGTCCCTGCCCCTGCCCCTTCCCGGGGCCGGGCCGGGTTTTTCCGGGGTTTCCCCCCCCCCTTCCTTCCCCGGGCCCCTCCCCCTTCCTGTCCTGCCCCTTCCCCGGGTCTGCCCGGGCCCCCGGGTCCGGGGTTTTCCCCTTCCTGTCGGGTTTTTCCCTGCCCGGGGTTGTCCGGGTCCGCCCCGGGTTTTCCCTGCCCCGGGCCCCGGGTTTTTTTTCCCCTGTCCTTTCCCGGTCCTGTTTTTTCCCCCTGCCCCTGCTGTCCTGCCCCGGGGTCCCTGGTCCGGGCCCCTGCCCCGGGGTCCGGGTTGTCCGGCCCGGGCCCCGGGTTGTCCGGGTCCTGTTTTCCCCCCCGGGCCCTTTTTCCCTGTTTTTTCCCCCTGTCCTGTCCTGCCCCTGGCCCTGTTTCCCCCGGGTTCCTGTCCCGGGGTTTGCCCTGGTCTTCCTGCCCCGGGCTTTCCTGGTCCTGCCTGTCCCGGGCCCCTGTTTTTTTGCCCGGGGCCCGGCCCCGGCCCCGGGGGCCCCCCCTGTCCCCCCCTGTCTGTTGGGTCTGCCCCTTGTCGTCTTTTTCCCGGCCCGGGTCCCTTTGCCCCTTCCCCTTCCCCGGGTCCTGCCCCGTCCTGCCCCGGGCCCCGGGGCCGGGTCTGTCCTCCCTGTCCGGGCCCGGGCCCCCTTCCGGGCCCCTGTCCGGGTCCGGGCCCCCTTTGTCCGGGTCCCTGTTTCCCCTTTTCCGGGGGTTTCCCTGTCCCCCGGGTCCTTTTCCTGTCCCGGGTCCTGGTTTTTTTTCCTTTTCCCCCTGTCCCGGGCCCCTGTCCGGGTCCTTTCTGCCCCTGTCCTTTTTTCTGTCCCCCCCTGCCCCGGGTCCCCTGCCCCGGGCCTGGGGGCCCCTGCCCCTGCCCGGGCCCCGGGTTCCGTCCCTTCCCTTTCCCTGTCCTTTTTCCCTTTCCTGTCCCTGGCCTTCCGGGCCCCTTCCTGCCCCGGGTTGCCCCTTTTCCTGCCCCTGGTCCTGGTTTTTTTCCCCCCTTTCCCCGGGTCCGGGGCCTGTCCTGCCCCTGTGGGGTCCGGCCCTTTTCCCCTTTTCTGCCCTTTCCCCTCCCCGGGGTTCCTTTTTTGGGCCCCGGGCCCCTGCCCTTCCCCGGGTCCTGTCCGGGGTCTGCCCTTCGGGCCCCCTGCCCCTTCCCGGGTTCCCCCCGGGTTTTCCCGGGCCCCTGTCCTTCCTTCCTGCCCCTGTCCGGGCCCCTTCCCCGCCTCCGGTCCCTGTCCCCCCCTTTTTCCCCTGGCCTTTTCCGGGCCCCTTCCCTGTCCGGGTCCCCCCCTGTCCTGCCGGGTCCCCCCTTCCTTCCTGTCCCCCCCGGGCCCCTTCCCCTTCCCTTTTTTCCCCTGTCCCGGGCCCCGTCCGGCCTTTCTGCCCCGGGTTGTCCGGGTCCTGTTGGGCCCTGTCCGGGGCCCTGTCCCCCGGGTCCTGCCCCGGGTCCGGGGCCCGGGCCCCGGGCCCCCCGGGTTGGGCCCCTGTCCGGGTCTGTCCTTCCGTCGGGCCCCGGGGTCCTTCTGTCCGGGTTTTCCCCCGCCCCGGCCCCCTTTCCCCTTTTTTCCCTTCCCGGGGCCGGGTTTGCCCCTGTCCCTTCCTTTCTGCCCCGGGTCCTTTCCTTTCCTTCCGGGTCCTGGTCCTCCCCTTCCCCGGTTTCTGTCCTTTTCCCGGGTTTTCCCCTGCCCCTTCCCCGGGTCGTCCGCCCCTGCCCTTCCCCCGCCCCGCCCCTGTCCTGCCCCCGCCCCTGCCCCCGGGCCCCTGCCCCGGGCCCCCTTTTTCCGGGTTTTTTCCCTGTCCCCCCTGTCCTGCCCTTCCCCCCTGCCCTGTCCCTGCCCTTTTCCGGGCCCCCGCCCTTTCCCCCTGTTTTTTCCCCCTTTGGGGTCCGGGGTCCTGTCCGGGGCCCTGTCCGGGCCTGTCCCCTGGGGGGGTTTCGGCCCCGGGTCCGGGCCCCTGTCCTGGCCCCGGGTCGGGTTCCGGGCCCCCTGCCCCGGGTCCCCCCCTTCCCCCTGCCCCCCCCTTCCTTTCCCCCTGTCCGGGCCCCTTCCCCGGGTCCTGTCCGGGCCTTTTTCCCGGGTCCTTCCTGCCCCTGCCCCGGTCCGGGTCTGGGTCCTTTTTTGGTCCGGGCCCCGGGTTTTTCCGGCCCCTGCCCCTTTGGCCCCTGTCCTTCCTTCCGGGCCCCGGGTCCGGGCCCCTCCTGTCCTGTCTGCCCCTTTTTCCGGGCCCCGCCCCTGTCCGGGCCCCCTTTCCCCGGGTTTTCCCTGCCCCGGGCCCCGGGTCCCGGGTCCTGCCCCTGGTCCTGGCCCCCGGGTTTTTCCCCTGTGGGGGCCCCGGCCCTGTCCCGGGTCCGGGGCCCGGGTCCCGGGTCTGTCCTGCCCCCTGTTTTTTCCCCGGCCCCGGGCCCCTGTTGGTCCTTTCCCCTGCCCCTTGGGCCCTGTCCTTCCCGCCCGGGCCCCTTTCGCCCCTGCCCCTTCCTCCCCGGTTTTTTTGCCCCTGTCCGGGTTTCCTGTTGGCCCTGTTTTTTTTTGCCCCGCCCCTTCCCCGGGCCCCGGGCCCCTGTCCTTTTTCCCCTTTTCCGGGTCCTGGCCCCTGTTTTTTTTCCCCGGGTCCTGTCCGGGGCCCCTGCCTGTCCCTTTGGTTCTGCCCCGGGTCCCTTGTCCTGCCCTTCCTTTTCCCTGCCCCGGGGCCTTTCCCTGGTCCCTTTTCCGGGTCCGGGCCCCTTTCCCGGGTCCGGGTCCCTGCCCCTGGCCCCGGGGCGGGCCCTTTCCCCGGGCCCCTGGTCCCTGTTTTTCCCCGGGTTGGGCCTTTTCCCTTCCGGGTTTTTTTTCCCCCCGGGTTTTCCCCGGGTTTTTGGGTCCGGGTCCTTTTTCCCCCCTGGGGTCCCGGGCCCCGGGCCCCCGGGTCGGGGCCCCCGGCCCGGGCCCCGGGTCCGGGTCCCGGGCCCTGGGCCCCGGGTTTTGCCCCGGGCCGGGCCCCTTCCCGGGCCCCCCTTTTTCCTGCCCCGGCCCCTTCCGGGGCCTGCCCCCTGCCCCTGTCCGGGTCCGGGGCCCTTTTCCCCCCCGGGTTCGGCCCCTGGGGGGGCCCCGGTTTCCCTTCGGGGTTTTCCCTTTTCCTGTCCCGGGCCCCTTCCCCGGGCCCTTCCTGTCCTGTCCCGGGGTTTCCTTTGGGTTTTCCCCGGTCCGGGCCGGGCCCCGGGCCCCGGGTTCCTTTCCGGGTCCCTGCCCCTTTGGTTTCCCTTTCCCTTTTTCCTTGGCCCCTGTCCTGTCCTTCTTCCTGCCCCGGGCCCTTTTTCCCCCCTTCCTCCTTTCCCCCCTTTTCTGTCCTGCCGGGCTTTGGGCCCCTTGGGTCCCGGCCCTTCCCTGCCCTTTCCTGTTTTTCCCGGGTCCCTTCCTTCCGGGCCCCGCCCCGGGTCCGTTTTTTCCCCTGTCCTTCCTTGCCCCTGCCCCGGCCCCCTGCCCCTTCCCCTTCCCCTGCCCCGGGTTTTTCCTGCCTTTTCCTGCCCCGGGTCCGGGTCCCCCCCTGTCCTTCCTGGCCGGGCCCCCTTCCCTCCCCTGCCGGGTTTTTTCCCTGTCCCCCCCTTCCCTTTTCCGGGGCCCTGCCCGGGTCCTGTCCTTCTGCCCCGGGCCCCCTTCCCTGTCCTGTCCTTCTGTCCGGGCCCCGCCCTGCCCTGCCCCTGCCCCGGGTCCGGGTCCGGGTCTGCCCCTGGCCCTTTTTCGGGCCCCCCCGGGTCCCCTGCCCCGCCCCGGGTCCCGGGTTTTTCTGTCCTGGCCCTTCCCTTTCCCCTTTTTCCCCTGCCCCCTTTCCCCTTTCCTTTTTTTTTTCCGGGTCGGGTCCCTTCCTGCCCCGGGCCCCGGGTTGCCCCGGGTGGGGGCCCGGGGTTGTTCCCCCCCTGCCCGGGTCCCCCCCGGGTCCCGGGCCCCTTCCCCTGGGGGCCCCTGCCCCTTTTTCCCGGGCCCCTTCGGCCCCCCTTTTTCCTGCCCCTTCCCGGGCCCCTGCCCGGGTCCTTCTTCCCCGGGTTTTCCCCGGGCCCCTGTCGGGCCCCCTGCCTGTCCTTCCGGGTTTTCCTTGGCCCCGGGCCCCGGTCCTGCCTTCTTCGGGTTCCCCTGCCTGCCCCTGCCCCCGGGTTTTTCCCCCCCTGGTCCGGGGCCCTTCCCCGGGCCCCTTCCCTGCCCCTTCCGGGCCCCCGTTTTTCCTTCCCCGGGCCCCTGTCCGCCCCTGTTTTTCCCGGTCCCTGTCGCCCCTTTTTCTTCCTGCCCGGGCCCCTGTCCGGGGCCCCTGCCCCCTGCCCCCTTCCCGGGTTGGGCCCTTTTCCTGCCCCTTTCCCTGTCCTGTTTTCCCCTGCCCCTTCCCCTTCCTTCCCTGCCCCGGGTCCTGCCCCTTTTTCCCTTTTTGGGCCCTTCCTTTTCCTGGCCCTGTCCTGCCCCTTTTTTTTTGGCCCCTTTTTTTCCCTGCCCTGGCCCCTGCCCCGGGCCCCTGGTCC